AGGCTCTAAGGCACCCCACGGCTGCTGCCCATAGGGACTTTGTTGGCCTGTGAGTCGCTTTCTGACGTTCATTTTAACAGTGATATCGAAGACGAAGGCCCAGGCACTTGATATGGTCATACAGTTCCCAGTTAAGAATTAAGAGTAGGTCTATTATGCTTCTATCAAAGATGTAACTCCATGTGGAGGTTAGTGTCGACGATGTGATGCGGTATCTTGTACTCTGGACAGTGACTACTGACAGCTCTGATGGTCATGTCCGTGGAAGATAATCGCGACACTGTCAGAACGTTAACATACGGGGGAGCGCGTTCTCATAATCATATCAAGAACCTCAAGCTCAAGTACTATAGCTAGCCTCGATCTATCAGCTCTTTTGATAGTTTCAAAAACATGACAATATGTCTACTGCATCTCTATGGATACCTTGTTCGTGGATTGAGTTTGAACTCTTGGGACTCGAGGGATCGATTGTTCCTTACTAGAAAGAGGCTGCGCTGCTTGCCGTCGTTTTTTTCTGTTTTTCTGTATACAGTTCAATGGATATTCGACGGAGTTCAGAGATAATTTCAAGATGAAACCAAGGATGAAATTCTTCTAATTTCCATGCCAGAAGACTGACTCTAGATATAAAAGGCGTGGGCATTGTAACAGTTTCAGGTTTCAGCTGGTCTCACAAGTGCATCTGTTCACCGACACCAACAGCCTTCTTGAATGAAAGTTCACTGTTCTCTTCCTCATCACGTTCCTCGCCACCACGTCATTGGTTGCTCAGGAAGCATTCTCACTCCCTAATGGAGCTGGTACTCAGACCATGTTCTTCGGTAGTGGTACGACTTTAGTAGGTTCACCACTCGCGGATTGGACTAGGAAATTACTCCCTTGGTTCACCATGCAATGCGCGACGAGCCTGTCCTTTGCACTCTCTATCACTTTAAGCAACAGATTCAAGACCATGTCAAGTTCGAAAAACCTAGAATTACTTGCCATGTATCAGGTATATAAGCGGTTGTCATCATGCTTCTTTCTTTCAGGCCGACCTTGTCCCAGAACCCTTGATATATTTGATTTGACTGCCCTTTACTGCTGTTGGGGATCCAGGAAATCTGTCATCGACAATGCAACCTACCACTGTGATGTGAAGTCCAAGATTCTCCAGCAGATGATATTAATCAAAGGCTTCAACCATGACTTACGTTGGTGTACCCTAGCTCCAGTGCACAAAGGTATGCAGCATTTACCATTACTTGGCACTTTGCGACCTGACACAACGGTTAGCACCTCCAACAGAAAGCATTCGGCATTAACATGCTTGCCGGATACATCCATCCTGAGCCTTTCAGTCCCAAGTCTCTAGTTCTAGTCCCCAGTGCAGCCATAAGCATAAGTCAGATCACAAGAAATGGAGTTTCTATTGAAGTGTTGCGATGAGATATGGTTCAATTTGGGTGCGTTAGGTACATGTGATGTTATACTTCGCATTGGGGATCAAATTATCGGTGTTGTGCATGACGTCTGCACATGTGTGGTGTGTGATGTCGAACAAGGGTTGAGGATGTTGATCAATCCTTGTTCAACGGTCACACCATCTACAACGGAACCTGAAGTTCGACTTGAGATATAGTGATCCAGTAGATATGCTCGGCGTCGGTGGGCGCCGTTGCAATTTCAAGAATTTTTCGGAGAGGGGATTTAAGCCGCGATTCTATCCTTTCAGTAATTGAGCCCAAAAATAGGACCAATAGGGAGCATGGCCCATCTGCCACAAATTAGATGGATTGGAGACGAAGTCAGTAAGCTCAGGAGACGATAGCGGCTAGAGTGAGAATGCCACGAGAAGGCAATTCTCAACATCAACAAGTGGCATGCCGCGTCCTTGATAGAAATACTTATCAACATATCAAATGGATGGGATTCCTTCGAAGGCGCCGGTCGTTCATAGATTAAGTCAAGGCAGACCTTTGGCAGTGGCATTCTTCGGAATTCCGAAATGTGCTGGTCAGATAAGCCACAATCGAGAAGAAACTGAGAAAAGTACGGACTATGTCGGGGTTTCAGTAGGAGCCAAGTCGATCATTCATGCCAATTCTCATAGCAGCCAAGCTGTGGCGCAAACAATCAAATGAGGAACTATGAATGACGGAATGTAAATCTTGCCAAGGTCGCAGAGTACCACTGGCGATATATGATACCTAGCGATAGTGCAAGTTAGACAAATATCGGGTTAAGATGTTCAAATGAATACCCTTGCGGGCCATAGATAGTCAGTCGGTCCGCTTCGGTCCGCATCTGAATAGTTTGGGGTCGGCATCCAGACAACTCGCCGGAAATGATATTCCAGCAATTCTCAGAACATGTGGCTCAAGCGCTCAAGAGTTTGGGGGAATTTACGTGTTATGCCGCGTGTAGTGGCATCGTACCTGGCGCCCACGTCAGATACATGGCATCGGGCCAATTAAATCGATCCGTGGCATGCGGTTAGGGTAGTCGCAGCAGGGAACATCTAAATCACACACTTATAAGATCTAGAGAGTACACAGAAGAAAGGGTCATTGGCTTTGGGGTATAGAAATTTGCAACGTATCTCCAAGTAGGAGCCTGCAGCCTTGCCGGCCGATTGGAGTAATTCGACCACCTGGAGAAAACTGCTCCAAAATGTACCGTGAGGTGCACAGACGACAAGAGCACATCTGCCAAGTGAACGTATATGTTCAAAGAGTTACTCAACTACATTCCGATTCGGGGCAGCGCTCATCATTGAATATTGAGTGACGAGTCAGGCCACGGGTTGAAATCATGATTTATGTAATGTTGGTGCCTATCGGAAACTGCCGAAACTCCGCCGGTTGGTGAAGCTACTCGCGATTTTTTACCTACTGATCTGCTCGTCGTTCACCATGTCGTCCACCGTACCTATCTCATCGAACATCACGGCGCCGACGCCTCAAAATACGCCTCTTAACCAGGCCCCAATATCACTTGCACTCTCTCGGCCGACGGTGCCCGACATCACCGAAGATAACGAGCAAGACGATGCTGAGGAGGCGAAGCCTGAGCTCGGTAACCTCGAGCAGCGAATGTTGGGGATGGTGCAAGGAAAGCTCGCGGGTCTCATTGGCAAAAGTTCTGGTTACATTGAGAGCCTGCCGATTGAGGTCCGGCTGAGCGTCGAGGCCCTCAAGGGGGTGCAGGTCAAGCAGAACGAGTTACAGAATCAGTATAAACGCGAATGTCTTGAACTGGAGAAGAAGGTATGTCGTTACGATGGTGGCGGGATCGACTCTGACGACGCAAATACAGTATCTGGCTCTCCAAATGCCTCTTTACCAGCGCCGCAATGCCATCATTGCCGGCGAGAGTGCACCCACTCAGGAGGAGATTGATGCTGGCGAGCAGTACTCTATCAAGGACGACGATGAGTATGTCACAATCCCCAAGGGCACCAATCCCACCGCAAGTGGCATCTCCGAGTTCTGGCTCACTGCTCTTCGAAATCACCCCGGCTTTTCCGACCTCATTACTGAGCGTGATGCTGATGCGCTCAAGCACCTTACTGACATTCGAATCCAATACCTTGATGACAAACCTGGCTTCAAGCTTCTCTTTGCCTTCAGCCCGAACGAGTACTTCCAGAACGATATCCTTGAGAAGACGTATATTTATCAGAATGAGGTTGGTTATTCAGGCGATTTCGTGTATGATCGCGCCATCGGCACAGAGATCAAATGGAAGGATGATAAGGATCTCACCAAGGAGTTCGAGATCAAAAAGCAGCGCAACAAGAGTGAGTTTTCGTTGTGGTTTTCTTGTGAGACTTGTTATCGATTTCCACAACTAGACACAAATCGAACGCGTCTTGTGCGCAAGGCACGTCCTGCGGAGTCATTCTTCAACTTCTTCACCCCGCCCGTGCCCCCTGCCGAGGACGCCCTTGAGGAGGGTGACATTGACGAGGAGGAGCTCGAGGAACTCGAGGATAAGCTGGAGATGGATTACCAGATGGGTGAAGATCTCAAAGAAAAGGTGTGAATATATGACGAATTTCATTCTTGTCTAATTTTCTTCCTCAGATCATCCCTCGCGCCATCGATTACTTTACTGGTAAAGCACTCGAATACGACATGATGGACGATGATGATGAGGAATTCGATGAGGATGAAGACGATGACGAGAGCGGTGCTTTTGAAGACGTAAGCTCACTCCAGCTATCCGTTCTCCGTTCGATAGGATCTTAACAGTCTCCCACCTTCTCAGGACTCCGATGAGGATGCAGACATTCCCACCCGTCGTCGTGGGCCACCAAAAGGCGCTGCTAACGCTAATGCCAACCCCGAAGAGTGCAAGACTCAGTGATCAAATCGTTCCCCATTCACGTCTCCATATTCGTGTGTCTGTTCATCTCTTGCAACATGGATTTGTGTGTGCTGGTTTCTCTTTTATGACACCATACACCATTTTCCGAATGCTTTGTTCATACATACGCTCATACACCCTGATGTCACCTTAAACCAATCATTATACATACATATATGTACTGCTCATCGCCGCGGTGCTTTCTTCCTTGTTCTCGCGGATCGTCTAATTCACAGTCAGGCCTACTACTGATTATCTTGTAACACCTGACTCGTTTTCTTGAACTGACTATCCTTACGTGTTTCTTTTGTTTGTTATGTCCTATATCTTTGACGAGCGTCAAATAAAAGCTTATCAGCGTCAATTTAGATGTTGCAAGTCCTCTGAGTGTGTAGGTCAACGTCTTTGATTTTTCGATGTAGTCAGATTGATTATGAAGTTGTTTCGCCCCTTGAGGTTACTATCATCACCCAGAATCGGATCTAAGCGTCATACTGTGTGCGCATCATATACGAGCCGGAGGCGCGAACATGTGTTCCATGGTTCATCTACAAATTCCAGTATTCCCCTCCGATCATCGTCGATCGTCCCATATTATACATATTGATTCATATAAAAAGAAAGACAACGGCTTCCCAACCGGAGATCGACGCCAGCAGGATTTGAACCTGCGCCCTCAAAGAGGAACAGATAGGTTATATGAATTCTAATCTGTCGCCGTAACCACTTGGCTATAACGCCATACTTTGAATACCTGGACTTATTTGAATTATGAGCCACGTCATGAAACTAGTGGCGTAGATGGTTTGCCACATCAGTCTGACCAATATCTTGCCCACAACTGGCAGTTGTTGACATCAGCATCCCTGATCATTATCATGGATGATTATTTTGATTGAATGGCAATCATTTGTGTGACTATCCTCATGAGCAAGTGGGCAGACTAGTAACGAGCCCTTGACGTCATGCTAATGTACTGGAATTTGGGATGCGCCACCATGAGCCTTGATATTGCCCGCCAGGCTCTTGGCGCAAGCCTGTCAATCGAACAGTCGATCTCTCGAGGTTTACATGGTAAAATATACATACGCTGGAGCAGGCTTCAAAAATCGAAGGAATGAGAAGAACGACCCCGGCAAGATTTGAACTTCAATCTAGTGACACTTCCATCATCGATGTTAGAGCACACATCGTCTCAGACAGATGCATCAAGAAGCAGGATTCTATGGCAATGCTGACTGCTCGTCATGTCGTCGTCGAGACTCGAGAGTTGTCAAAAATACGATTGAGGGCCTCGCCATAATACTCACCAGTACCTCAAAAAGGCTCGGACCAATGACGTTGATGCTGAGGCTCAACGCTCAAGGAGGCTAACTAAGAAACCTCGTAAAACTGGCTCATACAAGACCGATCTCGCTAAAGTCGGTCACCTCTTATTTTCGGCAAGTCTCTTTGCCCATCGCTGGACACCCGAAAGGCTGACATCTAGTGTAAAGCTCAAATCTCTTGCTGAGGCGAGTGACCCTCTCGTACAAGATCTCGTTAATGGCAGGGGACTTTGATATGATGAAAGAATACTATGAGCAGGCCGAAGGGGATGGAGAGACAGACAATTATGGATCTACTGAATATGACGAGTGGGCCATCTATTCACAACCCAGATGAGAACTTGTAGCCGTCATACAGATTATTTATCAAGTTTGACAGCCACCTTGCTTATCCCTACCTCCAAACTGAGTGGCGCAGTGTGTATCAAGTGGGTCATTGTCCTCACATCCGGACTAGGCTATCCATCCTCAGAGTTCACGAATCCTAAGTGAAATATATAATAGATATACCCAGTACGAAGCATAACTAGGAGAAGTGTTATCAACATTCAAGACAGCGCTAGCGTTTTCTCACAACATATATACGATGATCCTGATCGAGCCACTAATAAGTAGTAAAAATTAAAGGAGAGCTCAACCTTTTGTGATCTTGCGCAGCTCAGTTAGCGCAATCATCCTCGTTGTCGTCAGCCGTGACAAAGTTGAACATTTCCGATATATGCGTGACGACATCGCCGGGCGCAACCAATCCATCCTGGACATAGTTGCGGTACTCCACGACAAGCTTGTATGTTCCACCGATCACAAGCGGGGGGTCAGCTAGCCGCATCTGTCCGTTCTCTTCTTCAAATTCGTCTGGGATCTGGCGCGGTCCGATTGGGTCAGATGTAGTGGCATTGACAACCTGGACGGTGACGTTGGAGATCCCGCTGTTAGTAACAAATAAGTTGCGAGCGTCGCGGAATGCCCATGTGATAAACATATCATTCTGGTAGGCATTAAAACCGGCGGGGGGTTGGACGACATGAAGAGATGTAAAAAGGGGCGACGATGGAGAGGTGATATTATGATAAGGCGGGGGAATGCTTTTTCCGCAGCCAATAGGTTTACTGGTTGTCACATTGACCGTGTCACTTCGTGCAGTAACGTCTTGGATAAAAAACCCGCCGGACGTTGTGGTATTTATAGTGGCGTTGATGCGGTAGTGATAGAGTCCAACGGGAACGGAAGCAGGGAAATAGTAGGTTGTCGTGCTGGATAGGACATTGATGGCTGCGAAAAGGTTAGTTTTCGATCAGGGAAATTAATTTCACAAGGGCATGCAGACTGACCCACGATGTCAACAACACTGTTCCCAGCTTTTTCCGCGGGCCCTGCCATAAGTTCAACAGATTCATTGAAAGTTGAGAATGCAGGCGCTATTGGCCCATCGGCATTATAAAAATCCCATGTAAGTTCAGTTTGTATGGGACCAATAGTGTCTTCGTTCATTGAATACAGGTCGATGGTGTCGGAGATTCTCAATCGTTATAGGTAACACCGACTGAGAAAGGGACAGGCGAGAAAGGCCCAAAAGAATAGCGAGAGGAACAAGAGTCATTTTCTGCGAAAATCGATGGGTATCGATCGTCAAAGCGAAAGGATAACTATGAGTGAGGTTTGATAGTGCCAGATACTTCAGTGCATTATATATGTAGAGGTGAAGTGAGCACCTGGGAAGTCTGAGCATGTACATCTTGAGCATGACAGTCGAACATTGCAGTCAATGTGGCAACTTGGTTCCCATGATGGGCGCCGTAGTTCTCGTATTCCTGCATCACATAAATGCACGTTCTCAGTCGACTCTTCTCTTGGGAAACTGAGTTGAATGCATTGCAGAAACACATCAGATCAGTGATATGTCGTTGAACATTTGAATGATCTCTTCGCCAATGGTTTAATGAGAGAAAGAATGTCCTCATTTCGTATCTGGAATGTTCACGATTTCGAGTTTGTTCATAGCAACAAAAATGTCACAGTGGACTCACGTCGTAGCCTCCTATCAACAATAATGACATTTCGGACTTTGACATGTTGTCACCATCAAGTGCAAGTACTATGGAGAGGTGCATGCACACCTCAAGGCAATCCGGGATGCTAGTGAGGCAATACATTCGTTTGAAGCTAAAAACTCATGAGTAATAATGCCACAGCCGTTCGTCAAATATGTGGCCAAACCACTCAAATCCAATATTTTCGAACAGGCGCTTAATGCTAAAGATAGCCATCGTCGTGGATCAGTTTTCATTGTTCGACATGCCAAACAGGGACCAAAGTTACAGATTGGAGGAATGACTGATGATGTCTGTCTAGGAGAGACTAGACCAAAGTGACAGTGCAAAATATCGACATTGAATTGTCAAGACAACACACGTTTTGGAAAGGCCATCGCCCCATGACTGACTGCACACACCGTTCGGCGCTTCCTGCCTGCCAGAACCGCAGAAAGTTTGATTGTCTTCAATTGAGTACTTTGAGCGTGGCAACAGGAAGACACCTGTAGTCCAGCCCTATGACTATCTGAGAGATCCGAACAATACTCCAACATTCCAGGTGTTCTGGGTGAAACACAAACGTGCAGGAAGAGCAAAACCATCGCAAGCGAACATATCTGAGACGTTGAGTGTTTGACAGACTTCGACGTGAGCTGATCAGGTTGCACAGCGGAATTCGAAGTAGATGGACGAAGACACGAGATGGACAAGACAACGTGTTGTACCATGTTGAGACAACTGAAAGGCGGGAGAAAGCAATAACATAGTCCGAAATATAGTACAGCAAATGTAACGATTATTTGACGATTGAGCTGACGCCCCGAGCTAGTTCGAATGAGATTAGACCAGTTATAAACACGCGAATCAGCATAACACGCACTTGCTAGATATTCTTTGGCAGAGCTTGCACTCTGAGCAAAAGTCAGGTAAGAGCCAAAAAGGATTGACTACAACTTACCAAACTCTTTATGACATCGTAAATACTCTTGTCATGATAGCGAAGGCCGGTCGCTGGATCCGTGTACGGAGCTTCCAGTCCAGTTATATCACAGTAGTGTTTGTGAGGGAGTAAGGATGGAGGTGCTTCGATAGACGTGTCTGCAGATATCGTCAGTCATTTTTCAGTCATTTTTCCTTTAATGATACGGTAGTGAGAGTCGACAACTCACAAGAAGGCATATCTTCTTCAGGAACTTGTCCATCAACATCCATGGCATCACCTTCGAGCCTTTCTTGTCTTTTCTTTTCGCGTTCCAGACGGTCGCGCTCGCGTTCTTGACTGAGAACGTTCTTCACGTTTTTGGCGCGTCGATTGATGTTCTTAGTATAATTGGGGTTCTTAAACGGTCGTGGACTGTGTAGATAGGAGAGTTGTTCACCCAAAGACTATTTTGTTGCGAGGATCAGAAAACATCTCAGCAAGAGTGCCCGACCATGTCCTTACAGGTGTCAATGGTGTTGCATCCCCATCGAGGGCAGCTTTTCTCCTAAATCCGCCTCTGGGTGGCCTGATATTCACGCTTAGCAATGAATCAAGGTATAAACATGATACCTTACATGACGATAACCTAGGCTGTAGATGATCATGGGCAAGAGAGAGCAGACGTCACGGTCAACGACGTCGACGTATTGATTGTTCAAGCATTTGGCAAACAACCATTGATGGCGATCGAAAAAGTTTTGGAAATCTCGATTTCGACCAGCGATTCTCCTGGTTCCGTTCATTTTCTCTTTTCTGTGAATATGTCTGCTTTGAAGAAACGACAGGCACCTACACAAGCTGGACCTAAAGCCAAGAAAGTACAGCTCGAAAAGCCTGAAAAAGCGGAGAAAAAGCGGAGTCGGCCTGTAACTGCACTAGCGTCTACCGTGGATACTTCTGGGGACTCGGATGATGAATTTGATGGCCTTGAAGCAGACAACGATGAATTCGTGGACCAGGACAATATGAATGATGAGGATATGGTTCCGGATGTAGCGCCAACCAAACCTATACAAGCGAAAGATCCAAACGGTACGTCATTCATGGTCCAACTTATCGATCTATCTATTTAATCCTTACAGCTTCTCGCGAGTCACACAAGGCCCAAAAGGCTCTACACGAGCAGCGGCGCGCTGCCAAGCCACACTCATCATTACTTAGCGATGCAAAACGCGTGTGGTCACTGGCACGGCAACAAAATATACCGACGACAGAACGACAGAAACACATACAAGATCTTATGAACGTCATTCGTGGAATGGTTAAGGAAATTGTGTTCAAACATGATGCGAGCCGTATAATCCAAACCGTGGTTAAGTACGGTCAGCAGAAGGAGCGAGACGAAGTCGCCCAGGAGCTCAAGGGGAAATATAAAGAGTTGGCTCAGAACAGGTATTCTAAAGTATGTCTGGCTCTGGAACTCTGTACTTTCATGCGTCTCTAACATAGTGTCCAGTTCCTAGTAACAAAATTAATCCGACTATGTCCGGCTCACCGAGCATCCATTTTAATGGAGTTCCAAGGCAACGTCCTTCGACTCCTTCTACACAGGGAGGCAACATCCGTGCTAGCAGATGCGTTTGAGCTCTATGCTAACGCTTACGAGCGCACGCTTCTCCTTCGCGACTTCTACGGCAAGGAGACGATGCTGTTCAACACATCCGGGGGTAGTGATGAAGAGAAAGAGAAGGCTAGGAAGGGATTGAGGGGTGTGCTGGAAGGTACAGACATCGAACGAAGACGGAGAGTCCTAAATGCTCTGAAAGAAAATCTGGTCACAATGTACGTACACTCTTACAGCCTACTCATTTGCCCATTTACCCCTTCCGCAGCTTTAACAACCCCGATAAAGGCGCTATAACACACGCCGTTGTGCACCGCGCCCTGTGGGAATACCTCTCCGCCCTCAGCGACCTTCCTGACGAAATAGAGCGGGATAAACTATGTCGAGAGATGTTCGAGACGTGCCAGGAAGTTTTGGCCGAGATGGTACACACCAAAGACGGCAGTCGTGTCGTTCGGGAGTTCCTTGCGTATGGAACTGCTAAAGATCGGAAACAGATTCTCAAGGTGCTCAAGCCACATATCGAGCGTATGTGTCTTGATGATGATGCGCAACTGGTCTTGTTCACGGCCCTCGATGTTATTGAGTGGGTTTCTGTCTGCTTCTTCTCGACTCTGATTTTTATGTGTGTCACACAGCGACACCAAACTCGCGTCGAAGTCTCTAATCGCAGAAATGACCGGTCCAGCGACGAACCTCCTTGTTTCACCTCAAGGTCGCCGTGCCCTGTTTTACCTCCTCGTGCCGCGTACAAGACGCCATTTTACTCCCGTACAGATCGCCTTGCTTGCCGAGACCGACGGGATACGGTCTCGGACAAGTAAGAAGGCACCGGAAGCGCGCGAGGAGGAAGTCCGAAAGTACGCGAGCGAGGCTCTCTTATCGTGGTTAGAACAGAACACGACCGGTATTATCAAAGAGCCAGGAGGCAGTCTTGTGGCAGCAGAAATCATGCTCTCTGCTGATGGAGGTACGTTCATCCTTACCAAGTATCATTGAACATATTCTTGAGTCAGCTTCGCGTACAGACAAAATCCCCGCTTCTCAATCCCTCCTCCGCGCCATCTCCACCTCTTACCCCTCCGCCGACCCCTCCTCTCCACACCTAATCGATCTCCCACACACCTCCCGACTCTACAAAACCCTTCTACAAGGCGGCCACTTCAACCACACTACCAAGTCCGTCGATCTCGCACCGAATTGGGATGCTGGTCTATTCGCTGAGGAGTTTGTCAAGGTCGTAGGGAAGGATGTTGCGATCGGTATGTGCACGTTGGGCGAGGGGAATGGAGCGTTCGTGGTCGCGGAGATGTGCGAGGCGCTGATCAGGGATGGGGGGAGGGGGGAGGTGAGGAAAGAGGTAAAGGGGTGGTTTGGGGATGAGGTTAGGGAAGCAGTAGAGGGCGGGCAGGCAAAAGGGAAGAAAGTGTTGTTGGAGACGATGACTTCATTATGAGTGTGCTCGTGGTCTTTTCGTTTGTTGTGATTTCCCTGAATAGGTTGGGTTAACCTGTTCGCGGTCTTATTCATAATCAGTATGTATCTCCAATAAGGGGGTTCCGTTCACTCGAGTTGACAGCGAATCTATGGTCGAGGCTGCATAACATTTACGATGAAATGGAACCCGTGTACGCTTGATATTCCATTGCTATTGGTTGCGAATTAACCTTCGGTGAAGTTAAAAGATGACCTCACCGTGCACGTGATCTTCACTCATTGCTCAGATGTGGTTGTACTTGAGTAACAAAAAAAAAAACATAAAGAACTTTCGGATACGGGGAATCGAACCCCGAGCTGCCGCGCGACATATTGTCTATTTCAGCCGTGATATGAAAGGCGGCAATGTTAGCCGTTACACCATATCCGACTATGTGTAATTAAACTAAGAATCTCAGCTATAAGCGCGAAGAAAAGGTGCGTGAGAACTTGAAGACAACTACGTTCTCGTTCTCTCCGCTAGACAACCTTCTCACTTGTGACAGATCCCAGATCCTTCCAAAACCCACCCTAGCCTTACTTGATTACTTCCTTCAGGAGACCTTGTATAATTTATCAACAATCTCGACGATAACAGAGCACGCGTTTTGCAAACCACGTCGAATTCTAAAGTTCATCTCCATCCGTTTGAGCCTCGCGTCGTTGTATTGGTCATAAAGTGATTTGACCTTTCTCCTTTTCCGCTGCTCACGATGGGCTCGCGCGATATGTGAACTCCGAGAGATGTCTGAGACGCGCCTCGAAGCATTGGCTGAGATACACACCCAGGACGGCAGTCACAGCGTCGTTCAGGAGTTCTCGCATACGGGACCGCTAAAGACCGGAAACAAAGATACCAAAGTCGCATATCAAGCATATGGAGTACCTCCCAATCGATGATGTGCAAATGGTCTCGTTCACGATTCTCGATGTAATCGAGTAAGTTATCCATATCCTCTTCAGATTTCAGCTGATTCGGACATGTCGCACTAAACTCGCCTCAAGTCTCTTATTGCAGAAATGACCGATTCAACGACAAGCCTCATGGTTTCACCCCAAGGTCACTGTTCCCTATTCTACCTCCTTGTTCCGTGTACAAGGCGCCATTACATGCCCATCGATCTCACCACTCACCGAGGCAGACGAGATACGATTTTGAACAAGAAGTCACCTGAAGTCCATGAGGAGGAGCGCAAGCGAGGCTCTATCACACCGTAGTTAGAATGGAACACGGCGGGTATCATAAAATAGCCAGGAGGTAGTCCCATGGCAGCGGAAATTGCGCTCTTCACTGACGAAGGCACGCCCTCTGTCCAGAGCCATTGAGTGCGCTGATTTTCTTGGTCTTCGCATCATAGAACAAACAAAAAAGCATCGCTTGGTGAAGAAAGCAAATCAGCGTCAAAACGACGCCTGATCATCAGTGTGGAACAACCGACCCACCGATACCACAACAACTGGGCTCGGTAACGTTCAGCGCTGCAGAAGTAGCCACAGCAGCGTCAACTGACATATCGGATCGACCCTATGAACAAAGATTCCGGTCACAAAAGTCACAGCATAGTACTAGCCATTGCTCCCTGAGGATCTCTAAACCAGCTTTGGGGGAAGATGCGACGACGCCCTTGATTCCAGAAATGATGGATCTGCGCCAGGAAAATGTTGAAAACGAGCTCCGGCTGTTCAATCTTGGACCAGTCAACGCCAATGAAAGAGGGCATAGTGGGTGATGGGGTCTTTGCCCACGTTTATGTATGACTATATATCATGTCACATTCTGGACAAGACGCGGCGCGCTCGGGGATGTTTAGTGTTAATAACAGCACACATATGAGTAAATGGACATGGTTCGTCTGACCGAGGCTTGACTTAAGTGCGCAACGGAGTCGTTATTGGACGTTGATGGCTGCCGGTTGTATACGAGTATCAATCTATAGAGGACAAAAAGTCTGTATGAAGACACTCCTAGCATTAATAGTACAATTTATACGGAGAATGATAACGTGGCCGCCCTTCACCAGACAAGAAAACAGGATTTCCACTCAAGCGAATAATTCCAGTGTGTCCAGCCATGAACCGAGAAATCCGTTTCATACTAGGCTCTTTACACTCTCGAACTCGATCAGATATCTCGATGATTTGGAAGCCAATTTCAGCCATATCCGTTAATTGAGGGTTTCTGTTGGCACACGATCCAACACTCCAGCGCGTCCTGCTCTGGATCCTTGTGTGTCATCAGCCTTTCCGAGCTTTTTCAGAGCTGGTATATATTGACCTTAAACGGGTCAAATCTCAAACTTGGTATCTGAAACTCTGGCACAGATGGGTCTTGCCCATAGTGTCCTCCCCAGAGTTTGGACTGGTTCAACTTTACAGAGAGCCCAAAGTCGACAAAATAGTATTTAATGGGGCCAATAGTCCAACACTCATTCCTCGTGAGTCATTGATGCGAACATATGAACTTCTCGGGGGACGACTTGGGACATGTCCATCACAAGATTCAGATAACAGGCATCTCTGAATCAATGTCATTAGCTTCTACCCAAGTTCAAGTTGGATGAAAGTTTAAACTGACCCATGTACGATACAATATTGATGCATGAAGTCAAGACCCTACGGTTGCTTGTTCAGGGAGAGGAAGGTCTCTCCACAAGGATGACTCAGAGCCACGAACCTCAATATATTGATGAAAGGCTTCAGCTAGTTCACCGAATCGTCTAAAGGGTAGTAGCAAATCAAAGGGCAGAAGGCTGTTGTAGAGCCTAGTTGGCCTTCCATACCATCGGTTTCGGTAGGAACAAACCCGTACTCGGAGCCTGAATCAGTGTCGCTCGAAGGCTGTGCAGTAGCAAGAAGTTCATCGCATGAGGAACGACGATGATAATAGCCGAGTGGGTACCGAGTGATTTTTAGGATCAGCGAAAACATTAGCAGAACAAAGATGAAATGCAATGGAAATTTCATCACTATTTGTATCAAGACATTTCAGAACAACTTTGAGACCATCGTGCATGCGGCTAGCGTCCATAATGTTTGTTTTCTGGGTTCATCGAGGATGATCAGTATAGAACCACATATGAAAAATAGCCACGTACAGCAGTCACCACGAAGTCTTTGTAAAAACAATATTTAACGTCGATCACTTCTCCTCGAAGCCACGACGGTATCCATCCAGGCTGATAATGTTGACGAAGTTGATAACCACGAGATAGAAGGAAAGGCGGACAGAACTTTCTCGATGAACGCGTCAGTTACGTTATTGAGCACTGCAGCCTCTTGGATGACAACTGATCCATAAAATAGATACAATGATAACAAGAGAGACTTCAGAGGGCGCATGACTGGCAGCGATATTGAGAGATGCCATAAGGGTGGGAGCTTCCAATCCACCTCCCGCTTACATGCACCGCGATGACATCGCAGGTCACAAACAGCTTAAAGGTGTGGTATTTTGAGCGCTATCAAACAGGGCTGCGGTCAACATTCAAGCTCGTAAAAGCATAAGTCATGGTGCGCACATCGGCTACATAGAATGCACATGCACACTATCCGGACGTAAATTACTAACAAAGACTATGAGATAGGCAAAGGTAGGGTTCTCATTGCTAGAACTGCGTGGCCAAGGTTCACGAGATAGAATTTTGGCGTGATAGCACATCAATAGCACATCTAACACGTCTGGGAATGTGAAGAGATAGAAAAACGACGTCCAAGTCTATAAAAAGGCCCCGGGTTTAATTCCGACATGATTACACTAGCAGGCTACGTCTGGAAGTTACTTATTCCTTTTCTGTCAAGGATCTTCACACTGCATCAGTCTCACAGTACAGAAGTGAGTATGCCCATCGCTT